TTGTAACAGTTAGAAGATCTAAAGCGAAAATAAAATGCATTACCAGTTTTGTTCTTTATATGTCCGCCGCATAATATCATTTTAGGATTCAATCCGTTTATTTGTTTGAAGGATGTCGGGACCTTCCTATTATGCGTTAGATTCATTGTATATACAAGTTCAATCGTAATGAACATCAATCATATCAACAGTAGTGTCATTGTATCACATTGCAGATTAGATTATCACAGGGAAGTAAAAGAGGAAAAGAAAATGTTGTTTAACTTAAACATCTCGTTATACATAAAACTAATACATAGAAAAGGTTTCTGTCACTGTTGGTATTAAATATAACAAAATAATAAATCATCCGTAGGATAATCTCGTATGATTATGAAATGAGATATTGAATACAAGGTCCTAATTAATATCTTAGTGAGTATAATGAACACTGTTACATTATTGTCTAGGACATGAATTCAATAAATTATTTCTTTTCCCATTTGCTTAATTGATAAAATTGTACGATGTTTGACAGAAGCTATAAGTTTGTACATACTTGGTCTATGAGACTTATATTTCTTTAAAGACGACGCTCCAAATTTGTACAAAATCGACTCCGCAACGAAATCGGAAATATAGTTGTAAAGGAGTTGGTCTAAGAATATTGTGTATTGTGTTTTTGAACGAAAAATTATCCAATTTATATACAGAAAGAACAAATCGCCGGTCATAAATAACGACCATGTAATGCGGAAATTTCACATATGTTGTACTCGGGCTAGAGCTTTTAGACTTTTATTTCTGTAAATAAAAGAAAACCCTCCAAATTTGTACAGTCCGCAACAAAATTTGACAAATGATTATTAAGCAGTTAGCCTAAGAAATCTGTGTATCTTTACGAAACTTTATCCAGTTTATAAACAGAAAATACAAATCAGCGGCCATAAATAACACAAATGGCATTAAATTAATCGAATTCTTTAACCACGGTCAGTATTACATATATAAATAAAATGATTTTCATCTTCCAATTCAGAGCAATGATATAATTTGCATTATCTTTCCTGACTTTCATTCCTGTTCCTACCATATCTGCCTGTTTGAATCATTGGATTATGAAAAAAAATCTAAAACGCGAAATACTACTCCTTTGGAATATACAAATAAATCGTTAAATTAATATTTCTATCATTAATATAAAATTTATTTCATAACTATGATTGGTTTAATGTAACAATCTAAAAGGATACAGAACATAAAGTAAGTCATTGAGATACAAATGTTAAGGTTTTGTATGAATCTTTTTGCTGCAAGTTTTTAACTTTGAAGTGGTTAACGTGTAGCTTGTTTTAAGTTACTTTAGTCTTACAATTTACCGTCACGGTGTTGATTATATATGTCAAACCATGATCATATAAATTATGCAGAATTCTCTGCATAATATACCAAATAATTTAAAGACATAATTAAACTAGTTTTCATAATCGTCTAACAATAGTGAGCTATCATCTGCAAATCGTGAACATTTGTATTTGTCACCATTTATAAGTAACTGTAACCTTTAAACACTAGTACATTGTTCTATTTTTATAGCATATATTTCTTCAATTGAAATGAAAATATATGATAAAAATTGAATCATCTTGTCTACAGCCAAGTTTACTTTGAAGAATGTAGATATAAAAACATATTATATAATAAAAGTTTCATGATTGTATCATAGCTCTTCGTAATTTGCTGGATTGCTGGATCATAAATCACTTAACTCTTTCTAAAAATGATAAAGTTTATTGTCAACTTTTTTCTCTGTAAATATACTTTCATTTTAAAATATTTCTTTCTGTGACCTTAAAGGAGGTATAACAAATGTTTTAACTTGTATTTCTAAATATGTTTGTTAAAAAAGGTTGATAAGAAATAATAAGATTAACGTCTTTATTTTTTAACAAATATATAATCAATACTACATACCGGTAAACAATATTGTATTTCTACATTGCTGAATTCTTGTCCTTCCTCGAAACTGTTTATTGAAAGAAACCGCTCTATAAATTTAGTTCTTTCTCAACATGTTGTGAGCGTTGGCGTGTACGATAGGTTATCGCGTGGGACTAGTAATGTTAGCATTGCTGACCGCGTAGGTTCAAACACTGTCAGTGGCAAGCTGTTGTTTCCTTGAGAAAGAAACTTTACATGCATTACATAGTACTGGTTGTTTCCAGGAAAATACTTAAAAGTGTTTTAATAAGCGTATAGCTTCCGGCACAATCAAACTATAAAAATCATGTATAAACTAACATGGCCTTCCTCAGTTCATTTTTCATAAGGCACATGGGCGTTATGCCTATGCCAGATTGTTACACTCTGAAACGTTTTATAAACGTGTTTGATCGGGAGCTAATGTCATTTGTAATCAATCAATCAATCAATCAATCTGAAGAATCTTCCTAATAATCATACGACCAACGGTTTCCCGTGTTGCGTTTTGCAGTCAACATAGAGTGGTATTGACCACAACGTCATTATGCATGGAACTAAAATTAGCCACATTTGTTTGGAAACCAATCGTTTATGTCATAATGGGATATACAAGTAGAAATAATTCACAAAACAATGATGTATATTAAAGATTCATACATATTTTAGAATGGGAGTAATGATCATGGCTCACATGACTTTAAGAATAATTTATAAATTAAATCATAAATTATCTAATAATAAAGTAGAAAAAAGGAAGCCCTGGGAACAGATGCTGACTTTCTTTGTTCCTTTTAAATTACAGTAACAACAAGAAGGGCTGGTGGCGAATACTGAAAAACGCCACACGCAGATAAATAATATTAATAACAGTTAGAAAATAGGGAGAGGAGGGCGGGTGCCCAAAATTTCATAATTAAATAAAACATGAACATGAATATTGTACAAAATCTACACCCTGCCGAAATTGATCCTTCTCCTATACAAAATGGTAAAAGTAAAGGTTGTGCTAAATGCCGGTACGGCCGTCATGAGCTGTACGCAAATACTATAAAGATTTATTCCCCATAAAACTTGTCCAAACCTTTAGTGCTTAAACAATACTGCATTAAATGAAACACCTAGTGAAAGGTACATATTCGAGGAGACTTATTCTTTTCAAAAATCAATGATGAAATAAAATGAACATTCACATGCTTTCGAACGAAATGTAAATGCCAAAACCAAGAACAAAGCAATTGCAATTTTGCTCTGTGACTTTACATATTTACCACAAAAGGATTTTGTTCTAGTCATATAATAAAACAGTTTTTATTGTTCTGTTTTTGACATTTGATATAATTTGTGTTAATATTTTTTATGACAACTATATTATTCATAGTTATTGCTCTTCTGACCACCAGTGAAAAATAGTTTTGTTCAGCTGAGAGTTTTGTAACTTATCATTCGTTTGGTTGCCTTATGCCAACAATACAACAACGGTTTATACGAGATAAAAACAATGTGCACAGGAGAGCTGCAGTCCTATAACATTTAGAACAACCCTCGCATAGGGCCATAGTACTTGTCAAAAAATATAACTAATAATACAACTGCGTTATCTTATTTTCTTAGCAATCACCCCTCCTTAAATTACTTCTATGACGTCATTCCTTTGTTCTGACAGTACTGTATTTTTAATGCAGTGCAGGTAGTTGTCCAATATCAATGTGTAAGATCAATATTAATCGTGTAACACATTGTACCGTGTGATGAAAGACAGGATTTTGTGGAAAATTATTCCAAAATAAAAGCAAACAAAAAAAACCGATTAAGTAAAATGTAACCTCTTTTCTCGGAAGATAACACGAAGAATGCAACATATTTCGCCCATTTCATATTTTACAGTATTTTCGAAAAGAACAATTATAATATTTGTTATCTGCCAATGATTTATTTGCTCATTTAACGAATACTTATTTCAAACCTACTAATTTTCGATTTCCAAGCTCTTAACGTCAGCTTTCCAAGTGAAAGGAACGACAGTAAGGATCTGATTTTAATGGGATTGTTTTATTTCTTGTCTATTGTCCGTTTTTTTAAATACCGTAGTTGATTTGCTTTATTGTATGTACGTAATGTTTCAGTTAGGTCAACTTTTCAAATAAGTGTAATGGTCAGCTTTTCAAAAAAAAACGTAATAGAGAAATAAAATTCATCTATCCAAAACAAAAGCGGTTATGTTTGACTGCCTATATAATGAAACAATTCCAGACTCCTGTGGTATGACAAATATCAGTTCAAAAAATAAGAAAATATCATTTTGTTGCGTAAATATCCAAACGTCATACTAAATGCAATTTTTACACAACATGTACATCCGTGGTAGTTGTAGTAAATTAAAAAAACATTTTAACACTAAATAGTTAGTATAATCCTTCTTAAAAGTCAAATATTGACTCAGTCAATCAAAATATCTGAGGTTTAACACAAATTTGAAAACTTTTTGTTTTTATTATTTCTTGTAAAAATCCACAATGTTCATTTAAGTATATTGTATGCGTGAAATCCAACATTTTGTGTAACTGGTATATTTTGTGTATATAATTGTGTTCATGTGCATAATTGGTCCTATTTCAAAACACAAAAATTTTATGTAACGGACATTTTGTTATTCAAGAGACTACCTATAGCGTTTTGCAAGTAAGAAAAATATATTTGCTAAAACATTAAAATTGTACATTTCTAGCACAAAAATACATTTCTTCTAATTTTTTGATAGATAACATGATATTTCATAGTAAAAGTAGTAATTTAAGTAAGATATAAGCCTCAAACTGACCAATAAGTAAAATTTTGAATTCCCTTCGGCACTACGCGCCTCATGAAATTCAATATTTTACATATTGTACAGCTTTCGGCTTATATCTTTTACATAAACTTTTTTAAAAAGATGATCACCGACAAGAACCAGGACCGGAGTAACATGTCTTCACAAAACTTCTTGTTCTCCCTATAGCTAACAATAAAAACATATTGACAGAAATTTTGTTTATACAGGCAATGAGCTCGTTAGTTGTGGTAGCCATTGATTTTGGGACAACATACTCAGGATGGGCGTTTTCATTCAAGTCTGATTATGAACGAGATCCGCTGAAAATAACAACAATGGTCATTACCAACACAACTATACTATCTAAAGGTACAATACTGTTACCTTCAGTTTATATGTTTTAAATATAGAATGCTAAAATTTGATGACTACTGTCTTAAACAAAATTGTTTAAGATCAAGATTTTCCATTCCTTGTGCAACTAATATATACATAGTTTATTATCTAAACATATGTATCATTTGAAAATACATGCCATTGGGTCTTCTAAAATATACATCGACAATTTGAAAAAGGATATTTGAAATGAAACATTACGTATTTAGTATAGTCATATGACAGTCATTTCGTTATACATGTACATGTACTTATCAAATTACGGTTTCCGTTATGACTTTTATATTTGCCCGCGCGAAGCTTGTCCGGATCATGTCTTAGTATAAATAATTATTTGGTAATATCTCGGACAATCATAAGTGTTATGTGTTTATAACTTACACAAATTATACATTAAGTGATTGGCTAGGGTGGTTGTTATCAACTTTGAACTGATGTTCAATATGATAGTACGATGCATAACATAAATTCAATGGTCATTGCTTAAAGTTAGTTGATGAATTTGTTTTTAAATATTCATTATTTTGACATAGTATGTTGCGCATGAGGAACTTGCAAAATAGGATACCTGTTGTCATACATTATACCGTACATAAATGTGTTACTTCTTTACTTATAAAAGTGTCAGGATTTTAATTTATATATTATTCATGAAAACATGATCTGTCCGACAAGAAAGTATAAAGTGTCCGTCTGAGCTGGTTCTATTAGGATAATGACGGACCCAAAATTTAGCGGCGTGTTCAAAACATGCAATAACAAACGTTCTCAGAGTTTTTTATAGAAATATTGTTAATTCAACAATATGATTTCCTTCTTCGTTGGAATTTTACCATTTTTTTAGTAAAGTGTTGTAATATAAGAGAAGCAGCACACAGTGATTCGGTACTCATTGCATTATGACCTCCCAGTCATACCTAAACATTGTACTGACTTTCAGTTCGCTAAATGTTGCGGGCTGACTGATCTGTCGCAATAATTCTATGAGGTCCTTACTATTGTGTACTATCTCGTTATAAATTGAACATTAATACAAATATCTATTTTGTAGACAAAATATCAACGATGCGACGTTGCTCGTCCAGTCGTTTATTTGCAATTTTGATAAACTTATTAAGTCATTAGGTTATTGAGCTATTGGTATGTCTATTGCCCTATTGGTATCATATGCCCCGTCAAATTTCTAAGAAATGGGTCCTCACAACACTCGGCTTTTAAAGGATTAATGTGTATGCTCATATGTAATTATAAACATAAATTGGAAAAATAACTTAGCAAAATAAGGACTAGTTTAAATTGGCATTCTCAAATTATTCCTAATACTGTAATTATAATGTTTCCTTCTGATACAACGACACTAAGATCACGTCTTCTGTCGGCCTTTACCCTCTCACGTCATTATTTACGCATATGTTCCAGTAGCATTACATTTTCATTATCATTTAACGTCGGATTATTTTCGTTATATATCAAAATCTCTGTAAAATAATTCTAAGTCAAATGTCAAAATATGTCATCAAACAAAAGTCCTTGACAAGTGTTTCTATTTGCAGGATGTATTTTGTTTCTAATGATGCCCAATCAAAACAATTATTTTCAGTTCCAACGTGTATTCTTATAAATTCTGATGGAACAACGCCACATTTGTTCGGTTATGAAGCTGAGGACAGATATGCTGAAATATGCGAAAACGGGGAACAACAACAATGGTTCTTCTTCAAAAGATTTAAAATGATGCTTTTTAGAGAAAAGGTATAATATTATATGAACATGAATGCCACATATGTAATACATGCGTACACATGTACGCGCGCACGCATGCAGAAATCTCTCCATTCATGTCTATCTTCCTTTCCCTGTCTGCACAGACGGGGCAAAATGAAACACTCTCTGAGTTATTAAGGATATTTCCTTTGACGTTATTACTCTTCCCATAAAATTTGAACTGGTCTTTTAGCCATACAACGACTAACTTTCGTGCAAGGTGAAATTTTTTCTGCCTATTTTGTGGTATGCAGCTAAGACTAAATTCTTACAGAATCTGGAATCATTGAAAACAAGAAATTATATATTAAAATCTCTAAGAAAGTGATCACATGTAAACAGAACGTTCGACGTATGAATTAATAAGTGAGTTTTTTTATAAAATAATCGTCATTACTTCATATGACGAAGAATACACTTAACAAATCGTATAACTGTGCACGTATAAAAATCAAATTTTCTCAGATCCTAACAAACATAGGTCTCTGAAATTTATACCAAGTATAGTACAGATATGTGCAATGATGGGTCTCGATTTTTATGTCAGGGTGATTCGTATTTATTGAGAAATAGCGATGTGTGCAAGATTTAGCGAAAGCAAATTTTATAATGTGTTTATAATGGGTGCAAAAAGGTCAAATTCACTAAAATACAAACATAAAACATAGGATCACCGATAGGGTATAATACAACAATGAATTCCAGGGCATTATGTCACTGTGATTTTAATATTTGCTTTATTGAATTTCGGTAAAGACTGGTTTATGTCGATCTCCGTAACGCGTTGTACCCAGTTACTAAAAGCAATGCAAAAACGATATTTTCATAAGTATAAAAGTATCAAGAAAGTTTGTTTTTAGTTTTAAAATAAAATCTTAGTTAATATGTTAATTTAAGAAAATATTATGCAAATTTATTTTCAAAATGGGCGCCCGAAATGCAAATTCCCTTGCATAAAACTTCTAGACGGCCATTTTTCTTTCAATTGCAAAAATTCTGCCATAAATTTATTTTTTTGGATGTCTTAAAGTTTATTTTAATAGAATCCTTGATGGCCAATAATAACTTCATTTAGCGCCAGCCTGTCATCCTCACGTGCACTTTGTTGTTTATGTCATGTCGCAGATGAACGCGCACAACAAAAATAACCGTAATTTCTGAATATAGCATTGTAAAAATAAACCATTAAAACGATGAATTCCAAAATTTGGGTAAAAAATGTCAAGTAATAAAAAAGTTATTTACATTTAAAAACTGCACAGTTATAAGTTTTGTTAAGTGTATATAAGGGCTAAATGAAACAGTATGCGTGGGAAAAATTGAAACAGTGTTATAAATATTAAGAAATGATCTTCATATTAAACATCATAAGGAGTTTCCGCTTTGCAACTTTAACCTCGGCTAAAGGCAGAAAAGAACTAACCCCACATCAAACATAATAAATTCGTTAAAGTGCCTGTGCATGCTTATGAAAATTTGGGTCGAATTATGTTTACTTCCAAACAGAAATAGAATGACATCAATGTTTAGATTTGAGAACTATTAAAGGGGATAATATTTAAGGAATGACCTCAGTCCGTCCATCAGTCCGTCCGTCTGTCCGGAAGTCCATCCGTCTGTCCGTCTGTAACACTCCATAGTCTTCAAACCGCTTTTTTAAAATAACTAGGCACAAGTGATTTCCATAATGAGACGATGGGCAGCGCGCAATAAGTCGGTTGCTACCCCCAAGGTCAATGGTCATACTTAAAGGTCGTGTTAAAGGTCGTGTACGCTCCATAACTTTTTGTTCAATCGCTGAAAGATTATTTAAAATAACATGGCACGAGCGATCACCAATTATTTTCCATTATAAGATGATGTATATAGCTGTTATACCCAAAGTCGTCTTTACAGGTTCAATGTTAGAAAGTCTACATTTCGTGTCATTACACATTACAACATTACACCACTGCAATGTTTTAAGATAACTTGGCAGAAATGATCTCCACCATGACACCATTTGCAGAGCACAATTATCAAATCAATATCCTGAAGGTCAGGGTCACACTCAAAGATCCAATGTAAAATATATATTCTTATGTCCACTCTATAACTTATTGACCATTCAAAGGTTTTAAAATTACAAATGATCACCACCATGACACTATCTGCAGAGCTCAACATCCAGGTTGCTTCCCCAAATGTCAAGGTTATATGTTCTTCATAACTTTTTGACCATGGAAGATTCTAAATAACTTGGCACAAATAATCACCATCATAAGACTATGTGCTTATGATATGCATAGCACAATATCAAGATCATGGTTGGTAAAGGGTCAAGAAGTACAATTTCATTCACTGCGGAAGGGGATTTAGCTATCCTTCAGACTGCCTTGTTCTTTTTTATAGTTGCCATAGCCATGGGCAAAGTTAATGACTCGAGCATTTATTATCGCAGTGATTTATTTAAAATTTTAAAGTGAAATTGGAGTAAAGAGATCAAATGACGTAAGAGAAAAAAGATTCATAATCCAGCTGGTCCTATTGAAAATAACGGTTGGTTTTGTTTTGTTTCGTTTTGTCTCCCCATATCTACCTACGAATTTAGTTAAGCTATAATCTACTTCAGTGCATATAACATGCCAGATATGTCGAAAAATTGTCTTGTTGACATTATGTATGGCTTAATAAAGCCAAAAAATCAATCTGATAACATGGTAATTTTTTTATCTCTCAATACATGCTTCAGTTTTGTTTTGGTGGTTAATGCAGTTAATATAAAAAGTATACATAATTCATTTCGCGGGTTTGTCCGGACAGTGAACTTGAAATTAATTTCATAATTAATGTGTTTCAAATCTTTAAGACATTAATTGTATATTATATCATATGTATTAGGAAGATTTGAAGAAATTAATTTTGTATGTATGTATTATGTATTAGGGCATGACAAGACGTGATACACTAGAAGATGAGACTGGTAAGAAACTTCCGGCAATGACAGTTTTCTCGCTAGCAATTGATTTCTTAATGAAGGATGTTGTTGATACTCTAAGCAACCATGTTGATAACATATTTATTGTGTCTGATATACACTGGGTGCTTACTGTTCCGGCGATATGGAACGATGCAGCTAAACAGTTCATGAGAGAGGCAGCACAACAGGTATATTTCATCAATCATATTTTATAATCGAAACGGATAAAACTATTTAAATAAGTTAAACGCTTTAAGTGTAAATGAACAAAGAATCAAGTCATTAATAATATGTCTATAGATACATACCAATATGTTACATATTTCCAAACTTGTTCATTTAAGTTGAGCTTCTACTAAAGAAGGGAACTATTCATATAACCCTATGCAATCACTGTCCTCTATAGTCGCGAACTGTCGCGGCCTTATCTTAATCAAGAATATATTTACATAGTTATTTCCATTATTTGCATATTTTCTTTTAATACAAATATTTATTTTACGAATCTAAGCTGATTTGAATAATTGACATTACACCGCCTGTCAATCAAACTGGCAGTGGTCTCAGAGATCGTTATCAGTTCCACGCTAAGATGCCTGCAAAGTCCATCATTTTCCTTAGACAAACTACTTGTCTAAGACAATGGTGCAGAAATGATTCAGTTTGAAATTTTTTAATTTTCTGTCAATTTAAAGCTTTTTTATCTAGTTACCAAATATACTGACATATTGACAGTAAGTTAGTTTATTGTACAAAAAAGTCAATAATTTTCTACATATGGAAATGATAAATACGAAACATTTATCCTGACTATAACACAATGCATTGAAAAAGGGAAAGGTTTAAAGAAATCCACTTTTTTATTTCTATTCTATCTAAAGTTCAATAAATTAATATTAAATATTAAAATAGATCTGCTTAATACGAAACTAATACCATCATGACTGATGTATGTGAAGCTTTTTTTAAGAGAATAATGTTGTATTGTCGTGAATGTTAACAATACATAATCACAGATCAGAAAAAGTTAGCAAGGGCATGCAATTTTCTGAATCAATTTTTGCAATTCATGAACAAATTAATTTATTATCAAAACTGAATTTCGCACATAAAAGGTACCCTGCGAAACTCTCCATACTCGAAGAAAAAATCACAAGCTAATACCTTTTTTACAAGATAACTCACGATCTTACACCAAATTATCTTTCGTCTCTAGTCCCGCCATCCGTAGGCAATACTTAAAGATATAACTAGGATCAAACCGTACGCAGAACAACGCTTTAAGATCCCCCTCTTGCCGTCCGTAATACGGGACTGGAATGAAATTCTTCATCATCTTTCAAATATAAATTGAAACATAATCTGAAATGTCCACATTATTTATACATTGGAAATAGGAAACTGCAAGTTCTACACACACGGCTTCGCACCGGATGTAGTTTACTTAAACACCATCTTTTCAGAAAAAAACATTTCTCAGTCAGAACTATGTAGCTGTGGTTTTACTGAAACTACACACCACTTCTTTTTCATTTGTCCACTTTACAATGAAATAAGAGAAAGTTTCATGAACATCTTATCAAACTACTGTACTTTAACGTTGCAAACACTACTATATGGCGACTGTAACATGAGTGATAATACTAACTGTAATATTTTTTCTTGCTGTTCAAGATTATATCAGCAAGAGCAAAATATTTCCGTAATAACGATACCCTTCTTTAATCAATGCCATACTGTTAGTGCCGTCTGGAAATATCTTCTTTTCTCTGCTCTCTTACTTCTTCTTTTCCTCTCCTTTTCAGATAGTTTATTATTTTACAAAACATATTTTTTAAACCTTCTTCTAACAAACTACGAACTCATATGTTTTGTATATGACATAAAATTCATTCTTATTAAACAATTACTCATTGTGCTTTCAAGCATATCCATGTACATGCATAGACACACTGCCAATATATAGCAAATAAAAACTAGGATAAGACCTATATAACCATCAGCTTTCGGTTCTGATCCTTTTTCATTCATTTCATGTGTTGTAAAGTTCTATAGACCCCTGTAAATTGTAAATGTGTATACTTGTTTGAAATAAACTATGTTTAAACTAAAACGTCATTAATACGTGAATGCAGATTTTTTTACTTGAAAATACCTTTAAAATACCATAATATATTTATACATTGAATAATAGATCTTCTATTCAACAAAACCATTAAAAGCATCAAAATTTTAGATAAACAAAATATATATAAGGTAATTTCATTGATTACATTAGTGGCAAAACAGTCTTGTCAAAATATCGGTACCGTATTTTGTCTATGGATTTTACTGACCGGGCCACGTGAATCAGTGGGCGGAGCGATCCCTTTTCTGGCGTAATGTCAATTACTTCATCAAGTCTGATTAACCTTTTGATTTTATAGGCTAAGATTCCAGGAAAGAACCTCAGTTTATGTCTTGAACCTGAAGCCGCATCTATTTATTGTCGTCATCTTCCAGTGTCAAAGTGTACCAAACAAGAAGTTACATCTATTTCTCAGTTTTCACCAGGAACAAAATATCTTGTCCTTGACGCAGGAGGTACTCTTCTTACATGAATTACTAAAACGAAACGCTTAAACCAACTGTTTTCTAATTTGATAAACCTGTCAGACAAAATGTCTTTGTATTTTCTTTTAAATGCGAGTAATATGCCTGATAATTTTCTTTTTTATTTTTAAAGAGTAAAGGATTTTTGAGTGGTTAATTGTTTGTTTCCTTTAACAGGAGGAACGGTTGACATAACTGTACATGAAGTAACTGACAATGGAAATTTGAAAGAACTCCATAAAGCAAGCGGTGGTGATTGGGGAAGTACCAAAGTAGATGAAGCATTTGAAGAGTTTCTATCAAGTATTGTGGGTAGGTAACTCATATTTGACAAAAAGAAATATTTTACCGTAAACCATAATCTTTGAAAAATCATAACGTACACATAAGGAGTAAATATATAACAGTAACTGTCATTTTTACGGCAAGTGTTTTCAAAAAAGCTTTTAAAGCTTCCTACTTAATCCGTAAAATTATTTTATGTCTTCTTTCGTGCAAATGAAAAGAAAACGAATATTCTTTAAACTAACTTTAAATTTGGATATTTTTTCGAAGGTGTTAACTCAGACTTCTTTTAATTATATACTTTTCATCGTTGTATGAACTAATATGTCTCAGATTGTACTTATCAATACCATATTAATATAATAGCAATGATATCAAATTAACCAAAATTTACTTTACTTTATCAATCAATCGTTTTACAGGACCGGTTGTCATCTCAAAGTTCAAAAGTCAATATTTGGAGGATTACATCGACTTTTTTCGTGAATTTGAAAGCAAAAAACGCAAACCTATCCAATCTAATAGATCCGTGACTCTCCGTTTCCCTGCTAGCCTTTCTGACTTATGTCCTGAATTCAAAGGAACGGATTTAAAGGAATTAATACGACAGTCTAGATTTGAAAACAAAGTCCAGGTTTTACGTGATAAATTGAAGATCGATGGTGGTGTTTTCAACGAGATTTTTGAACCAACCGTTCGCAAAATAATAAGTCATGTTGAAAATATATTGACGGAATCTTCAGTTGATGGTTGTGCTGCCATTCTAATGGTTGGGGGATTTTCTGAATCATCGGTGTTGCAAAAGAATGTAAAGTCCACATTCAAAGATCAAAACGTTATCGTTCCAGACGACGCAGGACTAGCAGTCTTAAAAGGAGCTGTCATCTTTGGTCATAAGCCGACAACAATAACTGAGAGGATATGCAAGTATACATATGGGTATGGAACAACTCATACCTACAGTGATAGTTGCAATCATCCTAAAGGAAGAGTTGAAAAGGATGATAATGGTGAATTACGATGTTATAATATCTTTCAAATTTGTGTAAAAGCAGGGCAGTCTGTCAAGGTGGATGAGGAACAACCAGAAAAAATATGCAATCCTCTTACCGATGATCAAACTGCTATTGGTTTTAGTATATATGCATCCTTATCAACAAATCCGCAGCTTACTACAGAAGAAGGATGCGATCTCATTGGAAAATTGAGGGTGCCTATTTCGGACACAAGCACTGGTACAAACCATTTCTTTGGAATAAGTTTTATTTTTGGAGGAACCGAGATTGTTGTTAAAGTCGTTGACAAGGAGTCAGGTGAAATTATGCTAAAATCTGTCGACTTTCTTGGATAGAATGTAAACAAACTGAATCAGAACACTTAAACATACATTACAACTTTTTATTGTTTAATTTGTTCGTATGAAAATATGTTATTTTCTTTAATCATATATACTAAATACATGTACATAATTATAGTTTTGTTTTATCACTTAAAGCACACTGTGGTAACTACACAAGCCTTACATAATATTGGTAAAGATTGCTATTTACATATCATATACCTTAATTTAGTTCATTTTCTGTCGTGGACGATAATCATTTGGATGGCATTTCAATGCACTTGATATAGTAACATCTACATGTATTTGTCTTACTAACTGTAATATAATTACTCTTATAATCATACTTGTAAAGTAGCAAATGCACTGAATGGTTAAAAAAACATGAATGTACTAAACGACTATACTAACTTCAAAAATTATTTTAACTCTCAATTTGCTAATTATGTAGTGAAATGCAATAGATAAGAATTTGTGTCTGAATGATTTTGTCTATTAGTATGCTTCAATTGCATTCAACATTTCCATTTGAGCTACAGCATATGCTTTCATTAAAGAATTATATTATACCTGTATTAATCAGGAGTGTAAACTAACATAAAATATCTACTCATTTATTATAAAATCATGTATAGTGAATAAAAGCAAAATAACACAAAAACAATTGTTTCTGTTGTAATTGCTTTAGAACGATTTTTAACTAAATGTAACTTATTGAATTTGTGTAAAGGATTTGCACTGCTTTGAATTAATAACATAACAGTCAAAGGGAGTGTCATTATTAAAATACCAAACTGGGCTACCAACAGTATAGACTGCACGGATGTGTATCTGGTTTGGCTAAAGGATTTTCATTTTCCGTTCCAGCAGGATATGTGGTTAAAATTATGACCTTTGAAAAAGTAATATTATCTTTAGCCATTAGTCTGGCGAACTCTAAATCAGTACCCGTACGTTTGTATAATTGTATTGTACTCGTTCGATACATAAAACTTAAAGTATCTAGTTATATCAAAATTGGAACGATTTTGTAAATTGAGAGATTAACAATACATTTAGTACAAGCAGTGTTTATTATTCTTAAGACATAAAATCGAAGCTAAATAATCAACATACACACGGGATATTATCGAACAATTAATTGATCGTTGGCTCGTTGGCGGAGAAATTGTAAATACTGGTTCATTATCCAGTTAAGCTATTTAGGCGGATCTACTGCCCAGAAACGGACAAAATATTTGGTACAATCGGCGTTAAATCAACTGACAAAAATCCAAATGGGACCGTCTTATCCGCGGCTCTATACTGTTTGAAGACTTTTTTTATTTAGATATTAAGATCCTATAACTTTTAATTTGATTTTAATTTAATTTCAAACACAACTAAACCGTCTCTGACGCTTCCAAAGGCCCTAAATTCGTTCAACAGTGCTTTTTGCTACTTCATGACAGCGCACTTTGAAATTTGTATCAATGGATTTCTTGCTTCCTTTTGTTAACGAGACGGAGATAATCCCAAGTGTACTTTTATGCGCTAAATTGTGTTTCACTGAAGTTGGATTGAATCACTAACACGATGTCGCGTTTTATAGTTAAATGGTCGTTCTTTTATGGAATACCCCCAATAATATATAACATTATTATGCGCATGACTTTAACAATTAGGCATTTTAAACAGTAACAAATATTTTAGTGGAAAGCCACAATGTTATCTCTTGGAAATCCAAAGTCTATCTGTCCAATTTTTCTATCTTTACAAAATTTCTAAAAATGGTTTCGTTTTACACTGACCAATAGAATGTTTACTTTTTGTTTCATAAATAACAAAATGATAAATCAGGTTTCTATATAAAATAATGTAACATAGCAACATGGAATTTATAACAACAATGATAACCTGCATATTTTATCAGTCATAAGATTTAACAATTTAAGAACAGACAGCTTATTTGACATTATCACCTTCTTAAATTATAAAAAAACTTTTAGCACAATTAATTAGACAAAGAGGAAAAGTTACGTTTATTCTCCCGGTAACATAAGCATTAATTTGACATCTGTTAATATTAAAACATTAGACATTTGTAACTTTAACATATTTGATATTTCACACATTCTTTTGAAAATATGGTCTTTTTAGATAATAATAAAAAAATTCAATTAAAGCGTGCATATTAATTTATTATTTTTGTAAAAGAATTTCGCTGTTTTTTTGCTGCACGAAACTTCTCCCTCAGTAGTTCATAAACACCTGTTCAAAACCTATTGGTCATTATCCATAAAATAGCATAGTTTCAGACTGACAAACAATTGCTTGTAAATTTAAAACAGGCTCAAATAAATAATGATTGTACAAAATAGATGGTTTCAATTTGCATAAAAGTATTAAAAAAAGCATTTACTCTCGATAATTGGGTGGAAACATTGTTTTAATAGTTCACATGAATGATTCTATCAAAATCAAATCATTCAGTTCAATTGTATTTCTAAACTTAGTATGTAGGCAGCCATCTTATTCTGTAGACTGTAATGCTTTAAACAACTTTTTAACACAAGTATCACTCAAAGATAATTTTAAATGAATTTAAACAAAATTTACCCAACGGTCCAGAAAATGTTGATTAAAGTTCATTTCTGTCTAAATTTAAGATCTGGCAGCCATCTTGATCAGCAGTCTTGAATTTATCTTCTTTGTTTTTGTAAAAAAACAACACCAATAAATGATATTACCTATCCATGTATTTTTCAATATTTTTATTAGTCAAAAATCAAAATGCTCGCAACTTCTTGTCTCCCTTTATTTACATTAAAATTGAAGCAAATTTACAAAAAGGTACGGATATATAATTCAAAACTATGATAAGTGGGGTGTGCATTCTTTTGAAACAGTCACAATGAATTTTCATTCCGAATAAGTTTCAGATCAAGTCTTGCATACTATTGGAGAAATGCTTCGGGGACAGACCATTGGAAAAAAGACTTAGTAATAGTAAAACTTTAGTAATAGTTTATGTTATCCTATTGATCATAGTAATTGTTTAAGATAATATTCTCCTATTGGTCATAGTAATTGTTTAAGATTATATTCCTCTATAAATCATATGAATAGTTTAAGTTATAATTGTTCTCCTATTGATCATAGTTATAGTTTATGTTCCCCTATTGATCATATTAATTGTTTAAGATAATATTCTCCTATTGATCATAGTAATTGTTTAAGATTATATTATTCTATAAATCATATGAATAGTTTAAGTTATTGTTCTCCTATTGATCATAGTTATAGTTTATGTTCCCCTATTGATCAAAGTAATTGTTTAACCTTTTACCCTATGAGCATATTGTGCAAAATGGCCGTTTTCATTGGAAGGCCTCCTGTTACAACTTCAAACTGCTATGAAACTATGACAAATGTTTCAATACTAATGAAACTTGGCACAAATGTTGACTGGACCATAGCCTCTGTAACAGCATGCTCAATTTAAATTTTCTATTACCATGGCAACGGGGGTCGTCTCAAAAGTGCAAAAAAATCACTATTTTGCATTGTTTTTTCCATCAAAACTGATTTCAAAGTGCTGCAACTTCTCAATGAATTGAAATAGTGTAAAAGGATTTTCAGCGTCGGTTACAAGTTACCCTTAGATCGACCTGAGGCCATTTTTAGCCTTTCACATGTCCAAAATTTTCTTGACGATGAGGACGACTATCGCCCTCAACCATTCAAGCCCCCAAACTGCACGGGGGGGGGCATCCCCCTTCTGGCAGGCAACCCCTGATGTACCATTTTGATGGGGGTGATGCCGAAAAACAAATCACTTTTTTACACAATTGTTGACACAAAAAACAGTGTTTGGGGTCTACATAGGGTATTTTTTCACTGTTTGAGGCATCAAAAAGGGGGGTCAAAAAGCCGTCAAAACACATCTTTATGAGGTAAAAGGTTAACAATAAATGATGAAAAACCTTGGAATTACCAAAAACTAGTATTTCCATTTTAACACATGCCCTTACACCTAATTTGGCGAAAAATTGTTGTCTTGTAACATGTTTTTATTTAATTAAATAAAACTTTTACCCCATCAGCGTATTGTAAAAATGGCCGTTTTTGAAAAGCCTCCTGTTACAAGTTCAAACTGCTATGAAACTATGAAAAATGCTTCAATAACAATGAAACTGGGCACACATGTTGACTGGACCATAGCCTCTGTAACAGCATGCTCAATTGTAAATTTCCTGTTACCATAGCAACTTCTCAATGAATTGAAATTTTGTAAAAGGCCTTTCAGTGTCGGTTACTAGTTACCCTGAGATCGACCTGAGGCCATTTTTAGCCTTTTACATGTCCAAAATTTTCTTGGCGATGAGGGGGACTACCGCCCCCCCCCCCACTCTAACCCCCAAAACAGAAGGGGACTCATCAAAAAAAGTGTTTAAGATGATATTTTTCTATTGATGGTAGGAATAGTTTAAGATAATATTTCCCTATTGATCATATTAACTGTTTTAAATAATATTCTCATATTGATCATAGGAATAGTTTAAGAAAATATTCCTCTATTTATCATAGTAACTGTTTAAGATAATATTCTCCTGTTGACCATAGGAATAATTTGAGATAATGTTCTCCTATTGATAAAATAATATACTCCTACTGATCATAGGAATAGTTTAAGATAATATTCTTCCAATGACCATTGTACTACTTTAAGTTTATGTCCTCCTCTTGATCAAATAATAGTTTAAGATAATGTTCCTCTGTTGATCATAGTTATTGTATGAACCAATCTGACCCTATGGATTATAGTAATAATTTAAAATAATATCTCATATTAATCATAGTCAATGTTTAAGTTATCGCTCCTCTATTGATCATAGTAATTGTTCAAGATTATGTTCCCCTATTGACCATAGTTAGAGTTTTTGTTAAGTTTCCCTCTTGATCATAGGAATACACGCCCGGCAAACTGTCACTCCACTTCAAAATTGTGGTGTACGGTAAAACGAGCGAACGGCATTTCCGAGATAGAGCGGAAGGTCGATTTAAACGCCTAATTGTAAGTATTGTTTATGTTTTTGTCTTGTTATTCATTTTAGTTGCATTTTTTCGAAAAACGGAAAATGTAGTTACGTGAAGGATTGATTGAGGCTTCCAATGATTCAAGCTGTTACAAAAAGAAAATTATATTAAGCCCGGGACAACTTTTCTCCCTGACGAAGCGAACGATGATTTGTAGAATATTGAACTTCCCAACCATAAAAATACCACACCCTTCATATTTCTTGAAAAAGTTTATTAGTAAATTATAAACACGTAATTAGAACTTGTCCTTTGTGCAACAAAAATTACTCCTGAAGGATTTCTTAAATTTGAAATCGATATTTTTCGAAAGTAGTGGAGCGAAAGGGCAAGAGATGGAGCAAAAGGTTCGATGTTGAGCGCAATGAGATATTAATTTGACGTATTAGGAGGAGCGTAGTCTATGATTTTTTATATATAAAAGCTAGAGAAGTTAAAATAGACATGATCAAGTGTTAAGATCGAGATATATATACCTTTTAAAGACAACTGATAAACTGTGATATCCTTTCAACGACTATAGCGTAATAACTGTAATCGCGAAGGTGTCACCTATGGCT